AACGTGTCCAGAAAGCCTGTATCGTTTTCTCATGATATTTTGCTCTCTTTGTTAGCTCTTTTGTAGAAACATCAGGCAGAATATAGTCTGGATCTGATTCTTGGACGCTAACTCTTGTGTCTGGTAATGCCAGAAGACGATAAACTCTTTAATCCGTTTTATTTTACACTTGGAAACAGCACAGCATTGTGGTTGATCGAAAACAAATAGCAAATAAACTTAAAAGAAAACTACCTAGGGAACTATTAATGACGACATTACTTACATTCTTCGAAGAATATCTTACAGAAGACATTGTTCAGTTTTCAGAAACGAAAAACGTTGAAGTCTGTGACTGAGACACGTGCGAACTAGCGAACTTCTTGTGGTCATGATATCCGAATATTCAAAACACTTTATAACACCATTTGAAGTGTCCTTAATAAACATACAAAATAAAACGACACTTGATAGAGTTCTTTGATCAACAAGAAAAAAATACACTAAATATTTCTGAAGGTTGGCATTTCCAAAGGTGCTGACAAAGAGAATTTGTGTACCGATCAAAAGCTTCTTTCGTTGGTGATCATTTCCTTCATTCTCATGACCTTAATGTGTGATATTGTAGGGAGAAATTTAATGCTTGTCACTCTTAGGGTTTTAACTGACGGGTTAACGTAACAATTGACAGGAAACTCTAACAAAGGTGTGGTATTTGCTACGCGAAAGTTAATAGTTCCTAAATCTCAGAAGAAAATTAACCTTTCATAGCAACAACGAGCGAAATCTTTTTAAACATAAATGCGGCAACCTGCAAACCTTGTGATAGCCCACTTTTCGATATTGCTTTTCTTTCACTTTTAACTAGTATAACACTCATGTGTCGTTTGTCTTCTGTCTCGTATGCTTAACTTACGTCAAGAAAAACAAGAAAATAAGCAGTTTGAGAGTGCATGTGGCTACCAATATAGTATAATTTTAATAGCATGGAAAAGAATTAGAAGTTGCATATTGATGCCAGAAGGAAGTCTTAAAGATTTGTCCCAAATGCAAAACAGAAAACCTGCCACATCCCACATATTTACGAAGAGTATCTTGTTCCACAAGAGAAAGATGATTCAATAATAAAGAGACTAATCGACACTCAACCACAGATTTAATAGTATCAAATAATTATATTAACAATAATAGTAACAATAATGATAATAGCGATAGTAATGATAATTTTTAGGGACTAGCTCTATCAGTCCATCCTTTAGGCTCCCATAATGATTAAACTATGCCTCTTCTAGTTCTGCCTATTAATTATAAATTACATTCTTTTATTTCACTGCAATTCCATTTTTGTGAGACTTTTGTTTCAAACAACAAGGCATTCTACGTTTTAGGATATTCCACCGTTCCACAGAAGCCCTGCGTTCCATCATTCCGTCGCCCAGTGTCACCCTGTTACTCAAGGTATCGTACTTCGGACCTTGCTCGATTCGCAAATTTAGCGGCTCTTTTGGGCATAAGCCGCTGATTGGAATGATAAAATGCTAACTCGGCAAGAACTGAAAAAATTATATCTTTGGATCTACCTAGCATGATTCGATGATTCAAACAGAAAAATGCTCTCTGCAATCACGAAACTTATTTTCATACCGTTTCCTGTGCGTATTGCGTTTAAGTGTTTATTACAGTGTTAATTACCTGTGAGTGTTCCTACGTTTCATTAGTTCCATTGTGCGCTTGTGGTTGATGTTTGTACCGTTAATGTTAGGTAATGATGCCGAGTAATTTGTCAGATTTTGTGTATAAATTTTGTCCTTTAGATCAATGGTTAAGTCCACTTTTTAAGAAGCAGCGTCGTCGTTTTCGTTTATTTACCTGTAGAACTATGCACCGTTAAGATAAATAGTTTTCTTTATTATTAGTTTATTTCCAAGTTTTCGTTCTCTAATATGTATTTTCCTACTCGTGTTTAGTAGCCTTGGCGTTTGGATGTTTAAAATAAATGATGAACACAATTACGCGTAACTTCGGTTACACTTTCTTTTCAAAGAAAAAATGTTTCCTCTACGTTTCCAATAAGTATTTTCCTACATATGTTTAGTAGCCTTGGTGTGTGGATGTTTTTAAATAAATGATGAACACAATTACGCGTGACTTCGGTTACACTTTCTTTTCAAAGAAAAAATGTTTCCTATACGTTTCCGTGATGCATCGATGACACCTTTTAGATATTTCTGCCAGGAAGAGCAGTATTTTTTTTTCACGCGTCATCCTGAAATGATTGTGAATGTTTATTGTCTTCTGTAGTACTCCAAAACAAACAATAGGTAGCACCGGGAAACATCGGGTCAAAATTGGGTGAAGATCAGAATTCTATTGTCACTGTTGTTATTTGCTCACTCACTCACTCAATTCGACGACAGCCGTGGCTTCGCCTCCTATAGGAGGCAGTAGCCACAAAAAGCGAAAAAAAAAAGCAATGACATTGAAAACAACAAAACTACGATTATTAAACGTTATCATTTTTCATCCCATAGTGAAGTTAGTAAACAGGGCCTCGCTATGCGCTATAATGCCTAAATGAGCTTCAATTGTTACGGTTGACCTAGAGAGTTGAGTCAGGGAGTTGATTTCTGGCACAAATTAGGTAAAAAAATATATGTCAAAGGACATTCAGAGATTAAGAGATTTCTTCCCTAAAGTTAAGTCATAGCACTGAACTTTCTATTTGCAGTGTCACATCGAGGTAAAGTGAAAGGAGGATGCAATTTGTGTTTATCATTCATTTGATCAGTTTGACGCTGATATTTGTTATGGTCCATCGTGTCTTGAGCGAGAGATGTGACAACAGCAACTGGTGGGAAAGCCTGGATAGGACCCCGGGATGGTCGGTGTGTCCAAGAAATAACACCTACCTAAAGGGATTCTGGAGGAGTCAAAACAAAACCGGAGATGAAAGAGTTGGACGCCTGGAAAAAGGAAGATGCTGCGATGCTGCGGAGCCGCGTTACGCCGGTCAGCCTTCAAGATGTGTGAATGCAAACTGGTCACGCACGTTGAAGGGGTGAGCCAAACTCTTCTTGAATGTCGCGCCTTTTTTATGTCACACCCCTATATGATAACTTTGATCAATGCCATTGACTACTTTAATACCTTACGCTAAGAATTTGAGCTTTGGTGGAAAACTGATGAATGAGCAACCTGCCTTCGTCTTTCCACTGACTCCGTGCATTAGTCTTCATTTGGTGCATTTTAGTGCTGGTATTTTTTGGGTTTTTACCTTTTTGGGTTTATTGCGTTTAAACGGCTGTGAATATATGAAAGTCATATATTTGAACTGCGGATAAAGACGTGAATTTGAAAGCGATCTTCGCAGTTATGAACACAGCCGTTTATTCACCACTTCACGGGTTTATTCGGAACCAACACAGTAACCAGCTCCCAGTTGGCTTGTTAGCTCAGTTGGTAGAGCACTACACCGGTATCGCAGAGGTCATGGATTCAAATCCCGTACAGGCCTGAATTTATTCAGGTCTTCTTTTCACTACTGTTTAAGTAGTGTTCATACCTGCGAAGATCGCTTTTAAATTCACGTCTTTATCCGCAGTTCAAATATATGACTTTCATATATTCACAGCCGTTTAAAAGTAATAAACCCAAAAATTTCAGGCTCATTTTTTTTTTTTTTGGTTCTCTTTCTTTTTTTCAGATTTAATGTCTGGGCTTTGTGTCCAAAAGGTTTTTACATGAATGGCATCAGAACCGAATCTCATCGCCCCTATGATTCATTTTTGAACAACATCGATGGGGCAAGATGTTGCCATCCAACGGATCACCCCAGCAGTTATGGAGACTGTTACGATGAAGATGTTGCTATTTCATTCAACAACAAAGGTTGGAGTGAATGCCAGGAGAATGGTTATTACATGACCGGTTTCTACAAAAGTAACTGCCAAGACCTTAACTGTATTGACAAGTTCAAATGCTGTAAACATCTATTGAGAAGAAATAGTAGAGATGGTAAGTTTTGAGCTCGGTGAAGAATTAAGAAAGATGTTTTTTCGTCTTGTCACGAGCGTGGGATAAAGAAAAATTCTGAGACAAGACGAAAAAACATCTTTCGTAATCTATTGAGAAATTCAGATGCTGAAAACGGTAATTATATTGTTGTCCAATTATTTCTTTATACAAAAAGAGACAAAAACGAAGACTTTCTTGGAGAATCTTTAATTTCCCAAAGTTGCGATGCGTCAAAGGTTAGACTGAACCGATTTTAAGTGGCCTGTACCACTTGCTTTTTCATTTCCTTGGGGTTTTCTTTCCCCAATAAATTTCGAAAGAAAGTTCCAAGAAACACTTTTAAATTTTGACCTACAAGACATACTCGGAGACTAAGATTAAAATACTGCTACCTTCTACAACCACAGTTACTAAATCTACAACAATAAAAATATGTAAGCATGTATGATGTTATATTCACATATTACCTCATGTTAATCAACAGGGCAATCAAACCCATTTACAGATCTACAGCGAGAGGTATACAAATCTTGGGTGTTTTCTAAGCTAATACCAAGTTCGATTTGTTTTAGACGTGAGCCGGAAAAACAGAGTCGAGTACATCGGTCGAAGCTTCTGTTTTAGGAGGCTTTCTTGTTCCTTTGATAATTTCCCACCGGAAAACTATAAAACTATATGATGGAAATTTGTTCATCAATAAACAGTCGCTACAGATGTTCTCCCAACGAAAAAAATCCGAGCAATTGTCAAATGGAAACCTTCTAGAATCTTTCATTACAATTTAGGTACAAGTTTCGATAAAGAAACTAAGAAGGAAGCCTTTATTATATTGCTCTGCACCGCACTATGGGAACAACCCCAGCCAGGGTGGTGTTCAAAATGCCGCCATATGAGATTTTTTCCTAAACATAGAATAGAACCGTTTACGTCTGTTAGAAGGGGGTATTTTCCCTAAAATGGTAGCAAGTTAGCACTTTCATTTCAAAATGGTTTGCCATCATGTTACCTTTTGTGACGTTGTATTTCGTTGCCATGACCATTTTGAACCTTGAGGCGCCAATATAAAAATCTTCGTGAATAGAAGTGTATCTTGAAGCGATCGTGTTTTTTTTTTCTTTCTAACCACCCTTAACTTGTCGACCAGGTTGATGCCATTATCACCGGTAGTTACCCTTCCGCCAACTTGAGCACGGTCATCACAAAATTTTTCAATTTGACAAAGACTGGGAATGAGCTTAAACTCAACCTAAGCGAACTTTCTTTCTCCGTGGATATGCTTAAACAACTTGTGCAGTATAACTCGATCAAAAACAACAGTGCGATCGGCGCAACATCAGACCAACAAAACATTGTGAAAGTGGCAAGTAATTTACTGGAGGAGGAAAATACAAAAACATGGTTGCCGTTGCAGGAGGTAATTTTCCGATCCTGAGAAAAGTTTGAATTTCTTTTTCTTTGTTATATTTCCCTATCATCAGCTGTATTTTCCTCTTTCATGATTGAAACAGAACGGTAAATAGTCCTTTAGCCATCACTTTATTCTTCTAAAGAGAGACAACAAGTTCCACACTTTATATGATTATATGTCGGATAAGTCCGTGGTTCTCATGATGAAGTGTATTTAATTTTTTTTAATTATTCATTTGGTAAGGTGAAATGCCAAGGACTGGCATGGGTAGTCCAAAGCATAATTTAGCAAACCAAGGTTCTTGTGAAATGTTACTTTTGTTTTTGTTTATTTTTTGTTTCCTCGGTTCATTTTTGCTTTACGTTAAGGTGGAACGTGGCACTAATGAAGCTTTAAGCAAGAGAAATTTAGACCAATATTAATCATTATTTAAATCTCGGTTGAGTACTAAAAGAGTTATTTTAAACCCTCTTTTTGTTAATTAAGAATACCTGACTGTTTAATCTTTAATGGACAAAATTACAAATGGATTTAAATTTTGCAAGGCTGTTTTGGGAACCCTTCATAGGCCCCTTCACCGATTGTTTGCATTCACTGCAGAAAATTTATTATCTTAAGCTTGACTTTATTAAAATCCAGAAAAGGGGAAACATCACTGACATACTTCTGAAGACTATGGACGACTTTGCTTTTCAAGTGAACAGTAACCTTGGCTACTCAACCAATAAATCGGAGTTATTATCAAGAAACATCGCTCTTAGAGTTGATCGCTGGAACCCAAAACATGAGGTAAGTCAAAGGTCGATCTTGAACTCTTTTTAGACTGCTTTGACCCATAATGTTAGTTAATTCAGGAACATTTCTGTAATTATGAATCGGGTTTAATGACATATTTCATTGATTTCGTGACCTTTCGGTCTGAGTGAATATGTATTTGTATATTTCATTCCTAGTTGAAGGTTGACTTCGCTCAATATGGCGCAACAATCCTTGTTCCTGGCTCAGCGATCTCGGACACAATAGAAACTCGCATGTCCACCATTGCCTACAGAACACTTAAAAATGTCCTTAGGCTTCCAGTAGATGGACCCAGTAATAATCAGAGCGCCGGAGGTAGGCTTCGGAGGAGTGGTACAAGCATTGTTTCTTTCACTATTCATGATCGTGTATCTGGTTCCCTGAATAAACCTATCAAGCTGGCTTTTAATCACAATAACAAGGTATTGATTGGTTTGTATTGTTAGTAATACGAGTTGCAACAACAACGCATGGGAAACCTACTCCCGTCAGTTTTATGGGTTAAAAAAATGCTGCTGGACAATATAAATAGATCTCAGTTCTTAATCAGGGTAATCGTCGATAAATCGTTTTTATTCTATACCTATCCAATTGAGCACAGTGATAGTTGTTGGCAGCTCAGGTCATCATTCAACTTCATAAAGGTTCCAGGGAAAATTTTATGACTCTGGTTGCTGAAATATAAATTTTTCCCCAGTATAGCGTCTCTTGAACAGTAAGTCCTAAAAACCAAGTGAAAAAAGGGTATTATTTCATAGAGGAAATGAATCAGCTTGGTGTTGCTTTTTTTTGAGAGTTTAGTATTACTCTCATGCATTATCTCTTTTTTTTTTTTTTTTTTTTGCAACGTATCCTGCTGTCTAAGTTTTAATCGTAACACTTTCATTGCAGCGTTCTGATTTGATTGGACAGTGCGTTTTCTGGGAGATCGACCAATCGCAGAGGACGTGGCTGACGCGTGGATGTGTTCGCGTTGATCGTGAGTCAAACCCGCGTGTAACCACGTGCGAGTGTGATCACTTAACCATCTTTGCAGTCTTACTGAACAACAAGCCAGTGAGTCTTATATATTCTCGAAGTCTCTTCAGTCCGACATTTTCTTGAAATAGACATTGTTGGATCATTTTCTTTATTTTTTCACTAGAATCGCAAACAAGTCGCCAAAAACTCCTTGATTTACTATTTGTTCCTTTTTTCTATTTCGTCACTGGTCTCATGTCGTCGAAATAAAATACTCATAACGTATTTTTTACCTCTTAATATATTACACAACTTCCACTTATTTAAATTCTTGTTGCTTTTCTTGTTGCTAATTGTTTCCTAATTCATAAAAATTCCCACATAGTTTTTTTTCTAGTTTTCATTTCAGGTAAAAGCTCGTCATCAGCCGTACTTCAAACATATTTCTACTGTAGGTTGCGCATGTTCACTTTTCTTTCTGGTGCTTACTTGTGTGACAATCTTAACTTGTTGGAAAAAGTTGAGAAGTTTTCGGATAACAATGTTACTGCATTTGTTTGCTGCCATTTCGGTTTCTTGTCTTCTAATTATTATAGCTGGAAAAGCAGAAAGACCAAAGGTAAATATCAAATGTGTTTCGATACTCGTTTTTAAAAAAACTGTGTCCATGCGTCTTTACTGCTGTTCAGTAATAGATCAAATATGAGATAAAAATGAAGTAAGAACAGAAAGGAGGCAAAGGGGCGCACCCGTGTGTCATGGATTTTCGTGATTCATCTTTAGTTTTCTGTGATCTAATACAAAACAGAGGCATTGCAGCATGGAATTGCTTTGCTCAATATAAGGAAGTAGAAGAGTCTTACTTGTGATGTCATCTGTGCTTCTCTCCTTTAACAGATCATAGAAAAGATCCATTCAAAATTCATGCTTAATTTTACGTATCATATAATATTTTTCATTTATTCATAGATATATTTTACATTCACAGGAGTTATGCACAACAACAGCAGTGTTACTCCATTATTCCCTCCTGTCTGTATTTTTCTGGATGCTGTGTCATGGTGTTATGTTGTACTTCCTTATATTAAAGGCTGAACGGCCAGAAATTCTGGCATTGAAAAAGAAATGGTTCTACGCTCTAGGATGGGGTAAGAGCAACACTCCTTGAACAAGTACATTTTCATCCCCATATGCATTGGACGTTTTTAAGCACAAAAATATAACGCCTCATTTAAAAGGGTCAGAAAATTTTGTAGTTGCTTTTGTTAATACTTAATTCATTTCTGGCTGTTCCAGGTGTTCCAGTCCTAATAGTGGCCATTTCTCTGACAGTAACTGGAATCAAGTCTTATGCAGCAAATAACTGTTGGCTTACAACAGAACATTGGCTCATTTATTGGGCGTTTGTTGCTCCAGTTGCCGTAATCCTATTAGTAAGTATACTCTTTTAACAATGGTGCTCCTTTTATGGTGTAAGATATATTTTATGCAGACACCGTTTAATATGAGGTTTAATATAGGGTATCGCACTAGTGGATTTTTTCGAAAAAATATCTGATCTTATTTTTTTCTCAGCTCGTGAGCGGACGGTATTCTACAAATCCTGCAATCTTATTTGTTCCGAGAGCGGGCAGTATTCTCTCCATCGGGCCCGCTCACAGCGGGCGGTTCTTTTCGCAACCATTTGTTAGGTTTTAGAAAAAAATAAGAATGTTATTCACCAGCCAAAGTCGGTCCGTGTTGGGAAAAACTGTGCCTTCTGTGTTTTGTACCGTACGAGGCCTACGGCCTCAGGCGGTATCCAAGGCCTCGGGCACAGTTTTTCCTAATACGGATCTCCCGTCTGGTGAATAACATATATATATTTTCTGGCTTAATCAAAACTATTTTTTATGCATGTCATCATGGTTAAGAAGCTTAGTCGGAGATAAGAAAATCTTAGGAATAAAAGGAATGGTAAACTATGAGGGCAAAACACTCGTAAGCAGAGACAAGAAGAAGGATTTCGATTTGTTGTTTGTTTTGTTTCTTTTTTTCTATCTTTTCTTCTTTTATCAATCCTCTTGTGAATTTTTGCCTCTAGATCAACTCAATTCTGTTAATTATCTTGCTTCGTGGGATACTCAGAGCGACTAAAACCAAAAACAACAAAACACCTGCCAAGCACGTGAAGGATTGGTTGAGACGTTTTGCAATGCTGCTGCCAATTCTGGGTATCACGTGGTCGTTTGGCTTTCTCACGTTCATTACATCAACAGCTGTGTTTCATTACATATTCACCATCTTGAATTCATTCCAAGGAGTTTTCATATTTGTGAGTTTCTGCATTTTAGACGATTCGGTAAGTCCTTATTTTTTTATCATAAGCTTCGACAGGCCAAGAATTGCTCCCAACGATTTTCCTTGTACACCCATAGTATTTATATTATATAGACTTTTGAAATTACGTGAAAAAGCTGAGCGAAAAAAGACTTAAGAACAAGTCTCTGTAAGAATCAAACATCTTGGGAAATGAAAATTTTCAACCCCCCTTCAAATTTTGCATGCAGTTAGGCACTCAGGGGGATGCACAAAAATACCCTTTTTAAAGGTCGCAGCACTCTTGTTGCCATGGTAACAACGGCTGCTTGTTCGAGGCCTGGGGCCTCATTTTCATACAAAAACGTCGCAAAAAAAGAGTGAAATGTTTATTTCTCTATCTCAAGCTAAATACAACATTACAAATTGGCACTTCTACCATACATAGTGACATCATTCGTCTTCACTTTGATTTATTCAATTTTCCCTGAGAGTGAATGTGAACGCACCAATAGATTATTCATGTCGGTACAGTTTCGGTCATTTTTGTTGTCGGGAAAACCAGGGAAAACGTTTATCAGAAATTCTTCAAAAGTACACCGATTCTGGAACTGAAACTACCCACCTAGCTGGTTATAATATTCTAGCTTTTAAATTTGTAAAAGTCTCTGCGGGTCTGCCTCTACTTTTTATAGGGGCAATTCGCGAAAAAAGGTCAAAATCAGATATTGCATAATTTGGCGATGTTGACATCTGATGTTCTCAGCAACAAATGTTTCAGACAAATGAAACATGCACGGCTTTGGAAGAATGTTATCTTACGAGCAATATCCCGAAGAGAAATCTCGACTCTGGTAGTCATCTTTTAAAAAAAATTGATCAAACTTCTTGGAGGACTACTCGACATAATTACAAACATATACCTCAAATCGTGTGCATATCATCCAGATTCCGAGTGCTGCACCTTCCTTCATGGGAATTTGAGCGATCCGAAGTCCTCTGAAGATACGCTGATATACTTGTATGCCATTTGAAACAAGTTGAAGTCGGCTGATCTACACGAAACTATCCTCCGTGACCGGTCATTTGTCATAAACATGTACGTTGTCACGATGGCGTGACAATGTATTTCTCTATGAAGTTTCCATCGATCGCCCCAAAGAAGACGAGAAATGAACATTTTTGGATACATCAGCAGATTTCGGCGCATTCTAAGTAAAAACAACCAAAAAAAAAAAAGAAAACCTCAATTGAACGCTCGTAAACACTGAGAATCTAAGAGCAGAAATCGCAGCCTGTAAGCGGCAGTACTACATGTAAAACCCAGTCGTCATAATAGCAACTTGTACTACTTGCGCGAAAATCATCACAGAGTGGAGATTTTGAACTACTCAGTATCCCTGCAGTACAGAAAACGGAACAGGGATTTCATCACAATCAATTTCCAAAATTAAGCTTTTTTCAGGGAGTCTTTCATATGCTCGAACGTTAAATTGGCTTTGAGCCTTGAGATTTATTTCCCTTGACAATAAAATGCTCTAGAAAGAGCTTACAAAATTACAAAGGAACTATTTTTGATGTCGCTTGGACCGAGAAATACAGATTTGAAATAATTCATGCTGTCACTGATGAACCAAAGGGCACAATCTTCTCAGCTATTAGCTTGATAGTCTCCACAGACTAACGTTATTAGACCGAACGATCTTCCTTTTCTTCCTAGTGAGCCGGCCACCTCAGGAGAAAATTAAAGAGACCTTTGACTTCCTCTCGTGTAAATCACTGGGAGATTACGCTATATTCATCTTTCTTTAAGCTTGTAAAAGATATCCGGGAGAAAAGTATGGAAAATAATGGTGATGAAATCGCTGTTCTTTTTCCTGAAGGACAGGAAACTGGGGAGTTTCGTTCAAGTGACAAGTTGCGATTTGCGTGTGGATAATAAGATGTTTGAAAGGTGGAATTATGACATTATGATTTCATTAAATCTTTTATTTCGAACTTTGTTATGATTTATTCATTATCAAGACATGGAAGAAAACATCGATTGACTCGATAGCACTGCGGCGGTGACAAGTCTCTCCTCGTCATATCTTATGCAAATTTTTTTAACAGTTTTCAGATGATTTTAAATATCTCAGTTCCTGTCACAAGGAAATGATAACTGCCCTTATCTGCTCTTTGTAAGGAGATGCCTATGTCGTTCAAATTGATTTGGTTGCAACTGGGTTTTACATGTAGTACTGCCGCTGACAAGTTACGATTTATACTCTTAGATTCTGGGTGTTTACGAGCGGTCAATCAAGGTTTTCCTCTTTTTTTTTTTGGTTGTTTTTACTTCAGAAAGCGCAAATCTGCTGACATATATGAAAAATATCCATTTCCTGTCTTTTTTGGAGCGACCGATGGAAACTTCATGGAGAAATGCAGCGTCACGCCATCGTGATAACGTACATGTTTATGACAATTGATCGGTGTGAGGATACTTCAGTGTAGATCAGCCGACTTCAACATGTTTCAAATGACGTACAAGTATATCAGTGTATCTTCAGAGGACTTCGGGTTGCTCAATTTTCATGAAAAAAGGGGCAGCACTCGGAATCTGGATGATATGCACACGATTTGAGGTATATGTTTAAAGTTACGTCGAGTAGTCCTCCATGAAGTTTGATCAATTTCTTTTTTAAAAGATGACTACCAGAGTCGAGATTTCTCTTCGGGATATTGCTCATAAGATAACATTCTTCCAAAGCCGTGCATGTTTCATTCGTCTGAAACATTTGTTGTTGAGAACATCAGATGTCAACATCGCCAAATTATGCAATATCTGATTTTGACCTTTTTTCGCGAATTGCCCCTATAAAAAGTAGAGGCAGACCCGCAGAGACTTTTACAAATTTAAAAGCTAGAATATTATAACCAGCTAGGTGGATAGTCTCAGTTCCAGAATCGGTGTACTTTTGGAGAATTTCAGATAAACGTTTTCCCTGTTTTATCCGACAACAAAAATGACCGAAATTGTACCGACATGAATAATCTATTGGTGCGTTCACATTCACTCTCAGGGAAAATTGAATAAATCAAAGTGAAGACGAATGATGTCACTATGTATGGTAGAAGTGTCAATTTGTAATGTTGTATTTAGCTTGAGATAGAGAAATAAACATTTCACTCTTTTTTTGCGACGTTTTTGTATGAAAATGGGGCCCCAGGCCTCGAACAAGCAGCCGTTGTTACCATGGCAACAAGAGTGCTGCGACCTTTAAAAAGGGAATTTTTGTACATCCCCCCTGAGTGCCTAACTGCATGCAAAATTTGAAGGGGGGTTGAAAATTTTCATTTCCCAAGATGTTTGATTCTTTCAGAGACTTGTTCTTAAAGTATTCAAAAGCAAATGCTTGAAGCTCAGAAGTAAGGCAAGTGGGAAAAAAAGTGCGTGGATATAGTTTTACGTCGGCGAGGTTTTTAAACGTCGACTTACTATGCAGTTACAGTATCAAGTAGAACGTATGAATTCCTAAGGTACTTTTGGTTTGCTACTTGTTGTTCCAAAGTGAAAGAAAGCCCTCTGTAAAAATCTCACACCCACTGAACTAATGTTCGTCTGAAATCGGTGGTCACCTCAGTTTTACCCTGCAAGCAGTTAGTTTTTATCCCCAAACGGCAGGTTAATCTCAATTTGCTTATTACAGACTTAAATGCAGGAAAATATATGATCGGCAAGATGTATGAAGTGACGAACCTCTTTTAATTAAATTTTCATTAGGTTAAAAAATCTGTTAAGAGTATTTTGTGTGAGAGAATGAATACAACCAAGAGAGACACAAGAAGAAGGAAACGCCATTTTTCAGGTGTAAATACGGGTAAGAATTGACTAAATAGAATTAAGTTGAATGTTTGAGTTGATTGCTGGACTAGCTATGTTTCAATTATGCATCTTACCTGTGGTAAATGACTGATGCGATGGCAAACAAATGGACGTGCTTGCCTGTAAGATGAACAAGAAATGTGTGCCATAAAACTTCCCTCTCTAGTGCCAGATTAAAGATAACTGGACATTATTGTTAGCGAGGCTTCTTTTCACTTTTGGTTTGTTTGTTTTGTTTGTCATTTCTTTTTAGTCGTTTTTGTTGTTGTTGCTTTCATGGTTCCAAACGGACTCGAGGTTTTTAGAATCGTAAATGAATGAACGGAACTCGGGCAACTTTTGTATAATTTTTATCATGAACTAAAAGCATCATAAAGAATTAATCGAGAACTGTGGGCTGTTAAGTCTAATAATAAGTTGAGTGCCAAGGATTCTTAAGAAGGGATGAAACGCTTTGTTCTCCAAGTTCTGACCCTATTTCAAATCATTAAGTATTATATTTAACGCCAGATCTTCAGACCGGATCTTTACAGTGATCTCAATAGTTTAGACGGCACATCATCGAAGAAGTTCTCTCATGTTCTTAATTCTGATTCATGTTGCAGAGTTACAACTGATTTAAAAAGACACATGGAACATTTCACTTGGAATAGCTTATTACCGCTGTACAAAGTCCTCCACATATTATCTCTACCTTTAATGGTTCTGCTTTTACTTTGTTTTTTTCTTTTGTATGTTTGCGTGAGTATTGATAAAATTGATCATTTCCTCGGACACTAAGCTACCTCTTGGCCAACTGAGGTTTGAACATCGTGTTCAATTTTATGGTAATTGTCTAAAAAGGGTAATTTCTGCGTTGATTAGTACGACGGAAAGCGATAAACAGGTTTCTGTATTGAGTACCGGCCACATGACAGTAAAGGAGCTTTGGCTTTCACAGCACTTTCAAAAAGCAAGAGACTAAAAAAACGTGGAGGAAATTAAGGTAAATATACTAAATATGTCTCCTAAAAAAAAATTATTACGCTTTTTTGGACTAGCACACATGAAATAAATACCAACAAAAGACTGCGCCCTTTTTTGCTTTGTTTTCCTAGTAGTTGCTTTGTATCTGTAGGCAAGGAAAGTATGTTTCCGTTATCAAACAACAGTAATTTTAATGGGACGAACAGTGAAGAACTAGAAAAAAAGGAGATGACAAAGAATGATGATGAAAACAACAAAATGTAATTGCATGCTGGTTAAAATTAAAGAAATAAAATCTAAAATTTTTTCGCAATCATGAAGGAAAGTCTTTGTCCTTTATGTTTTAAAAAGTCAAAAAAAGGTTCGTGGATTGGGTTAATTCTTTTAAATTAATGCTAGGGAACTCGGTGCCTTCTTGCACGAAACCTCAAGCTAATGGGTAGTTGGCAGGGCGAAGGTAGATTAACAAGGCTGATACCGTTTTGAACTAAAGCATAAGTTAAGTGAGTATTCAACTTGCATGCAAATTGTTCATTTTTCATCATAATATTTTGCGGAATTATAAAATGTCATAAGTACCGGGGATATGTGTACTTTGTGATCCTGACACAAGTACAATTCAGAGAGTATAAGAGAGCTTCTTGGATGGTTAAGGAAAGGTTAAGGTGTTTATACATTAAGAGGAAACTCTCGTCCAAGAATGGTTTCTAAGAGCTCACGAAGTGTTTCGGAAGTGTTTCGATACCAACATATAACAAGTAAGCACTTTCAGTATGTCACCTTTTGAGTCCTAGATGTTTATGATTCGTCTTATAAAGCCCTTCAAAATTCATGATTGGGCCGAAAAGAAATTAAAGCATACGGAGGAGACACATCAGTGTTCAACGAAGGATTAAATCTGGATCAAACATTTGACTTCTTGTTAATAGTATCATAAACTGAATATGCTATTGTTTTCATGATAACAAATGCTTTTCAGAAAGTCCTTGAGTATTCTCTCTATATTTGACAAGGGTCAGCAAACTTGAGGATTGTAATCTTAACATCTATGTTAACGCTAAGGAGCAGATCTTCAAAATTTACTCAGGAGGACGTTAATGCAAATTAATCAAATGGGGAATGTAGGTATTTTTACCAGTGCTAGAAACAAGACTTGTGTCAGCCTCTGTCAGCTTGAATATTTAGAAGAGTAAAACCAAAAAATAGCACCATTACAAGGATTGACAAGAGTGTTAAACCAAACTATAAAATTTTTAAGACCAAGAAAAACTGACTCAGTGAAGTTGGTAATTGATGCATATGTTTTATGAGTCTATATTTTTTGTGCATCACTAACAGCAAGTCTTAATCAAGAAATATGATCTCTTGGTCTTAATTTGATACTATTGCTTTCATATGATCGAATGGTACATACATGTATTGTGAAGAACTTTTGATTTCTTGATTTTCTTAAACATTTTCGCGGCTTTATTCTAGTACCAATTTACGCGCATTCTGTTCGTTTTTTCACTTCAGCATTCATTTATGCGGTGTCATTTTTGCGCTATGTAAATTACTATGCCCTATACATTTCTCGTTTCAAGCCCTTAGAAATGCTTTTTAAACCCCTTTGTGCGAGTGTTTCGTGTTTCCTATATTTCCCTCAGCATTTGGTAAGTTTTTTATCGCGTCGTATTTATGTATTTATTTTATTGTCTTGTTTTGTTAGTTTATTTCGTAAAGGTCGTTTTCTGATTTTTATAAATTTACTTCTTCTTCACATTAAAAAGAGAGAAGAAAGCGGGCCCTAGCCTTTTCAATACATTCGAAAGTGTTCGAGTATATATTCGTGCATGTTCAAATATTTAAACAAAATTTAAATGCTTCTCTTTTACTGTTGGGTCGGTTAGAAGTAAGGGGGCAATTTTCGATTCATTCTTTTGAATTTTCAATACCCTCATCTGCAGTAAGAAGTTTCCATTCCAATGTTCTCTCGTAGCCCCTCAACATGGTCGGGCGTCGGCAGTTCAGGGCCCATTTAAAAGGGAACACTGTGTTCTCGCACCTGACAAAGTCACGGAGATGGAGTCCAAGTGAGGCAGCCAAAGATTTTAAGGAGGGGATTTTCTTTTTCCCTTTTAACGATGCAAGATCTTCATCTGTGTTAGGAAAGAGGAGAGATGCACGTAGAAACATGGCGAATTGTTGAGTTAAGTTCGAGTATTCTAAAACAGCCGACATTCCAGATAAATTAGCCAGCTCAGGGTTTCGTGTGTCTTTCAAAGCTTTCTGGACGAGGTCATCCAGGCCTATCATATTAGGCAAGAGGTGAATCACTTCCGGCATGTAATTTCGGACCCAGTTGATTGCCTCAGTGGACATGACCGCGTAAGGATTGGTAGTATTAAGCGGGCCCTTGAATCTCGTTAATAGAACAGTGAGTGGATAATAGTCCCGTAGGTTAGAAGTGGTGATGCGATCATATCTCCGATCCGCTGGCAAGAAAGCTTCGACATTTAGGAAGTCAGATAGAATGAAGTAACATTTAATGCGATTTCGTCTGAGTTTTTCTATCGATTTGTTAAGAACAAGCGATATATAGATGCTGTACATTCGCGTTATAGATTTGTCATGACAGATTTTCTTGACTGCATTTTAATCCCACCCGGTAAATGGAAGTACATCGGTCGGTAGGCTGTAGTGAAAGTCAGAGTTCCGAAAAAACCGTTGAAATCCACGACCTGTCAAAGTGGGATTCTCGCGTTTAAGCTCTTTAGTATTTTTCATCGAAGTAAAATACCGTATCAAAATAATGGCGTGTATGTAGTGATTTATGCCTTCTTCTCTTCCAAAATCACCCAAGTTGGCTTCCTGTCGTACCTTCGTCACCCCAGATCCTTCGCGTTGTACTAGGCGCAGCCACGTGTTCCACACGTCTCTCAACTGGATCAACTGGTCAGCAGGAATGTCCATAAATTCTTCAGTGAGTGTGAGCAGCTCAGTAGAATCCACAAGCTCTTGTAAGGCTAACAACAGCGAAGTGAAACCCTGTTCGCTGATACGCAGCGAGTACCAGATATGAATCACTGCTGAAGCCATATCATTTCCTCCTGCAATCAGAAAACAAGAGCTTTTAACGAAAGGCTTTTTAAGTCAAACGGTGGTCTTCCCTAATCTATCGTCTGTCAGATTGCCTCGAGTGGATGCAACGCAATCAAATCGAAAGTGGACAAAAGAGTTCAATTTGACGTGGACGAAACGGAGAAATCTCAGTTTGCCCCTTGATTGAGTAAGAAGATTGAGCGAAAATTCTGTAGACCGATCACAAAGTCCAGAAAAGAAAAACTATTTTGGTCAATGTTTCAATCCGGAAGCCATCCAGTCTGGTTCATATTGCCAACATCACGATTTGCATAATCAAGTAATTAGCGCTATCACCAAAACATAAAACGATTGGGACGGCTTTTAATTTTAAAGTTGACGCCTCAGTTGCTGGAGTCTCTATGGGTTATGAAAGTCGATCTGTAGGCCGTTAAGACAAAATACAGAGAGCATTTTTTTATGCGTCCATGTCTGCACAAAATGTGGCTAAAAGATTGGTTTCCTAGTGTTCCAAATGGATTGGTTATAAAGAAAAGATTTCACCTCACATATATTTATGGGACATACGCGAGAACTTTCGAACAAGAAGACAAAAAAGTGTCAAGGGAGTTCAAGTACCTGAAACTGCCTTGCCCGAAGTTTAAACGTGGACGGCAAATGGCGAACGTGACGACTAGAGTCTAGTTACGATTTGGATCTATTTTGAAATCACAAGTGATTCTTGTAATCTAGTTGGCTCTCGGCAGTAGAATCTTGTTACGAATCGTACTGTCGTTGCCTCAAATCTCATCTATTTCCCAGGAAAAGAGAAAGGTGCGATAAATTTAAACAACGAATCAGATATTACAAGGATTGTTTTGAGTGATCGGTCAAATTTCAAGAGTGTGAAGGGTGAAAGGAAGGACGAAGAGGGGATAATATGGCTTTCAAGGGGAAAGGAGGAGGATCAGTCGTTTCTAACAACGTATTAAAGGGACTATAGAAAATTGACTGCCTGAGGGCGCGGTTGTTCAGTGCGTAGAGTTTTCCACGTAAAGGTAAAAAAAGCAACGCCAATATCCATTATTTTATGATATTATTTCGCTTTGCTCTAAGAAGCAAATGAAACATTTGAGATTCTGTATTTTACGCTTTCAAAAAGAACGTGGAAAGTGGTAATTGAAGTTCGTGTCGTAAAATTTTGGTCTGAGAACAAACTTTTGATTTCATATCACATATAGGATTTCAGACCAAATTGTACTCTAATCAGTTCAATTACCGTTATATATGACCTTTGGGGATGAGTCTGAATGTATACGAATTTCAATTGTATCGTCTTCCTTCGAAAGTCAAAAAGAAAAAACAGATCATGTTGTAGAAGCCTTCTTAGGCGTATAACGAAGTTAGTGTCGATTCAGATCATTTCCCAAAGGCTTAATTAATCGAAGTAAAGTGGCCCGTTTTAAAAGCCTTATAGACGCAACGAAGAGTTGAGTAAAACAGTGAATGTTGATCTGTTTTGATCCAAAAATAGAGGGCGGAAGTTTCTTAAGAAACTGTGACACTGCATCTCTCAAAAGACGAAACAGAACACATCAGACAGTTCTGCAACGATGAATGAGTCAGCAGAACATAATTGTTTGCACTGCGCCTCAAACCGAAAGCGGTGACCACCCTTAATATATAGATTTAGCCAAGCCTAAAAGCGGAGCTCTTGTTAGTTTATTTTCCAGCCCTACAATAAACTGAATAAAAACTGTAATAAAACTATCTACTGGCAAGTCTTTGTATTATATTTCAACCCAACCATTTCCTCAATGTATAAACACTATTACAAAGTAATTAGTCAGGGAAATTGACTAAAACTTGTAAATCTTAGATTGTGTGAAATTAGCACTAATATCCATTTTGGCAACTTTTCAACACGAAAAAATTTGAATCAGGTTTCGTTTATTCTCAGAATAAACAAAATCTATGGGGTCATGCATGACCCAAATCATAACGTTAAACTTTAACGTCACGATTTGGCTCATCTAAGTTTTTGTTTCGATCATTCGCAGCATGAAATTATAAATTCACGAAGCCGTAAAGATGCCGTAAAGTAAGTGTTAAGATCCTCTTTACGCGTCTTTACGAACTTCTTTACACTCTCGTAAAGAATGTCTTTACGCATTGAAAACGATATAGAGAATATTTACGATATTTTACGGCGACTGTAAAGCGATCAGAAAGGCGATCTTTACGCGTTATTTA